CCCCGCCCACCCGCCATACCCCACCCTGTCTGTCACGCTCAGTGGCCTGCCCTCGCTTAACTGGCTGTTTTCTTCATCACTCCCAACTGGTCTTACCCATGCCCCTTCTTGATCCTCTTTCCCCTCCGTCCCCTCCGTCCCCTACTCTACATTTTGGAGCCTCTGCCCTACTCTAGGCTCCCATCTTCCCCCATCTAGGTGCCTCCCCAAACCTTCTCCTGCTCTTCCCCACCCCAGACTGACCATACTGTCCCATGCCAGTAGAGCACAAGTGACCCTGACACATTGCTCCCCAGTGCTCTTGGGATAAAGGCCAAGTTCCATAACTCTCTCTCAGTGGCCCTCAGGAGCCGGCCTCCGGTGGCTCCCCTGTTTTCATCTCCGAGGTCCCAGGTGGGGTTCTTACCTTTGGTACCTGCCATGACTCTATTCGGAACTTGTCTACCTGTAGTGCAGGGTGTTAGGGTTATACCCATTTTACAGATGGGTCTGACCATCTGTCATCATTTGTAATCATCATCCCATGGCCTCTCCCTGGGAAAGCCAGATTCCTCCTGGGAGGAATTCCTCCTGTGTTTCCACAGGACTCAGCAGTTTCGGAGCAGCCCAGGGTCTCAGAATGACTTGGGGCACTTGTTAAGAATCCAGACCTGGCCCATCCCAAATCTGCAGATTCAGAATCTCTGGGGTGGATCTTGGGTCTGAGTGGGTGACAGGCTCCTCATGCAGCCTCAGGCCCCCGGGTGGGGTTACAAGGGGTTACAAGGGGTTACAAGGGATGAGCCTCAGGCTGACTTCCCAACCAGGTGGTGAGTTCACTAAGGACCCCTTTCTATGTCGGCGACTCCCAGACTACTTCCCAGCGCACAGTGAGTGGGCTCGTTTGTTGAAGTGAATTGACTACAGCCCTCATTGATCCTGGAAAGAGGAATTCTACCCAGACCGTGTCCTCAGGAAATATATACTCACCTGAGCCCATGCTGAGGGACACATTTGGGGGCTCCTTTCTGAACAGAGGAAGGAGCGCTGAAACCTTCCTGGAGGAAGGTGTCAAGTCTGTTTTGAGAAACCTCCTTCCCCGTGGGCTTTGGAGTCAGATTGATCTGAATGTCAGTTCTGGTTCTGCCACTTACCTTCCGCGTGACCTGGGGCAAGTCACGGAACCTCCCTGAGTCGGTTTCCTCACCTGTAAAATGGGGCTCTCTGTGGGGTTGCTGTGAGAATTAGAAACGAGAATGAAAGTCAGCTGTCTAGCCCGGTGGTTGGCAGTTATTATTAGGGGGAGCCCTTTGCCCTGCCCTCCTCTGGGTCCCTTGTCAGTGTGCCTGACTTTAGGGAAAAAAGAGTGGGCTGTGTGACCTTGGGCAAGTTTATTCCCCTCTCTGGGCCTTTGTGGCCTCATGTGTGAAATGGCCCCATTGGGCCAGGACCTCTGAGGTTCTCTTCCTGCCCAAGAGGAGACGTGTCCAGGTCTCTTCCAGGCCTCTCGTGTCCGTGCCTGGGTCCCCGCCTCATACTGTGGCTCCAACCCTGTGGTCCTGCTCCACAGCCTCATCCTGTCCCTTGCTTCTTGCCTTCCTCCTGCCCCTGCAGGTCTTTGATGACTTTATCTTCGTCTTCTTTGCCATGGAGATGGTGCTGAAAATGGTGGCCCTGGGCATTTTTGGCAAGAAGTGCTACCTTGGGGACACATGGAACCGACTGGACTTCTTCATTGTCATGGCAGGGTAGGTAGCGTACCTGAGACAGCTCTTCGCCTCCGGTGCACACCAGACATAATTGAAATATTCTGTGGGGCTTCTTGGTGACAGTAATGATGCCACATCATGTAGGGCCTTCCCGGACCCCTGGGGTGGGAGGAATGATGGCCCTTTGCCGAATGGCCTGGACAGACAGACACTCCTTCCTCCCCTCTCTGGTAAGTTGTATGTCCTCGGCATCGTCAGCTGGTACTGGGTCTGTTTTAACGCTAACTGTATGACCTTGAGAAGGCTACTTAACCTCTCTAAGCCTCAGTTTCCTCATCTGTGAAGGAGAGACAGTAATTACAGCAACAGCAAAATGAGTGCCCGATCAGTGTTAGCTATTATTTTTCTTACCCTAGATCGCTCAGCAACTCAGAGACAGAGCACAGACTCGGGAAATATGTGACTCCAAACCATGGTTGCTTCTGTCAGGACACAGGCCGTGGTCAGAGAGAAGCCAGGTTACAACTTAGCCCACTTGGAGCATCTTGGACTCCGCTTTGGGCCTTGTTCCTGCTTTCTTGGGTCAGACCGGGCTGGTGGCTATTCGTGCATTCACCCAGCGGCCAGGGGTTGGATGAGCTCCTACTAAGTGCCAGCACCATCCTAGGTATGGGGTATGAAGGACAGCAAACACAGAATAGGCCTTGTCCTTCCCAATGACTGTCTGGGGAGAGGCATCCAACAGCCATGCACTTGTCACACACACCGGGATAAGGCCCCTGGGAAGAGCGTTGGGGTTTTCTGAGAGCACCTCTGAGCCGTGTTGGGGGTTTGGGGGCTTGAGGACTTTCCTGAGGAGCCGACACACAAGAGCTGAAGGACAAACAGATGTTAACCGTGCCCAGTAATGGGTCATAGAGCACAACTGAGAAGCGGGAGAGACAGGAGGAGGAGAGAAGGCTGGAGGCCTGTGCGTGCATGTCAGTGTAGGTGACAGTGCGTGTATTCGTGTATGTGTGTGTGTCAGTGTGCACGCCTGCGTGAGGCTGTGTGAGATGCCATTGAGAAGGGGCAGGGAGGGAGGGCAGGCACATGGCCGAGATGGGAAGTCAGTGCCACCAAGAATATGCTAGGTGCCACAGGGATGCTCTGAGATGAAACGATTTGTCCACTAGTGTTTTAAAAAATGTTACGCATCGTCTAAACACCCTTCCCTGAGAACAGAATTCAAATGTCACAGCCACCCTGTCACTTATTTAGGCCTTGCTGGAAGCTCTGTGGGGCTCATATCGGTTCTCGTGGACCACGCCACCCCTCTCTCAAGAACTTCATTCTCCTCATTTTGGTCTGGCTGGAGGACCAGAATGCTTAAGGAGGTTTTTTTCTGAAAGACAAGGTGTTTGGACAGCGTCATTTTTCAGTCTTGCCTGTCCAAACAGGTTCCTTTGATCTTCCTGTGTGAAGGACAGTTTTTGTCTGTTCTGGAGTCCTAATTTCTCTCCCCAGAGCCCTGCATGTGGTCCACTCAAATCCACAAGCTAGTATTGCAGGTGAGTCTAGTTCAAGTCTGTTTCTTTTTCCCGGCTTTCCCCTGCCGGAAGCTTATAGGGTATTCTCCTTACCTTCAGAATTCAGACAGTCCACTAGGGCAAGTCTAGGTATAGGATTGCTCCCTGCAGGGCCTTCTAGAACTGGTATTTTCCTTCCAGTCAAAAAAAAAATTTCTTTTAGGGGTGCCTGAGTGGTCAGTGGGTTGAGGGTCTGACTTCGGCTCAGGTCATGATCTCACGGTTCATGAGTTCCAGCCCCGCATCGGGCTCTGTGCTGACCGCTCGGAGCCTGGAGCCTGCTTCGGATTCTGTGTCTCCCTCTCTCTCTCTGCCCCTCCCCTGCACTCTGTCTCTCTCTCTCTCTGTGTCTCAAAAATAAATACACATTAAAAAAAATTAAAAAAAAAAAAAGAAAAAGAGCCTGGTGGCTCCAGGCCGGTTGGCGTCGATTTGGCTCAGTCTTGATCTGTAGTCACCTGAGTTCAAGCCCGATGGGAGCTCTGTGCTGATGGCTCAGAGCCTGGAGCCTGCTTTGATTCCGTGTCTCCCTCTCTCTCTGACCCTCCCCGTTAATGTTCTGTCTCTCTCTGTCTCAAAAATAAATAAACAGTAAAAAAATTAAAAAAAAAAAAAGAAAAAAATTTCTTTTATTGTTTCTTTGGTTATTGCCCATTCTTCTCTGCAGCCTCCTGGATTTCCCATTAACTGGATATTTCCCCACTCTATCTTCTCTGCATTCTCTCCCCTTTCTCTCGAAGATTTCCTCTGTACTAGAAGAGAATTCCTTGACTTGTCTTCTGAATCACTAACGGTGTCCTTTCCTCCGGTGACTGCCCCGTCTGGAATTGTTCCTTTCCTCTGCATCTTGTTAATTCCCAAGATCGTTTCTCGTTTTGGGTTTCTCGTTTTTCAGAGCAGCTGAGACCTGTTCTTGTTTTATGGATGCCATAGTCACTCGACTCTCCTTATGGATATTAATTAGGCTTCTTAACAGTCCCTTCCTGATCGTGAAGTCAAAGTGTAATTTCCAAAGAGTTAAACAAAAAATGACTCGCACACAAATCTTAAAAGGCACGTGATTGACTCACCTCATTAATGAGGAACCAGTAGGATGGTAATCGGCAGAATTAGGAAAATAGGGATTGGAGAGAGAAGGTGGGGATAAGAGAATTAGGTCAGAAGCAAAGCTGGTTAACAGGCTACAGGGTCAAAAAGCCATAACTTTGGGGGTTATCCTTTCTAATGCACAGAGATCACTTACGAAAATCTGCAGGTTAACATGTAATTTCACAACAGCAAGACCTTTAGTTAACAGTAAATAGTGAAACAAAGGTATCTTCCCCTGGATCATGAAATAATCCTTAGATGGGTCTGTTAAGTAACGCTCCAAAACGACATTGTGAGAAATATTGCCCTCCCGCTGCCTTATTTCCAAGTTTTAGGACAATTTTTCTTTTCTTTAAAAAAATTTTTTTTCAATGTTTATTTATTTTTGAGAGACAGAGCGTGAGCGGGAGAGGGGCAGAGAGAGGGGGAGACACAGAATCCGAAACAGGCTCCAGGCTCCGAGCGGTCAGCACAGAGCCCGATGCGGGGCTCGAACTCACGAACCGTGAGATCATGACCTGAACCGAAGTCGGACGCTTAACGGACGGAGCCACCCAGGCGCCCCGAGGACAGTTTTTCTTGACTCGTGTTTCGGGGAAGTCCTTTGTTTTGCTGGTTCCGTTCACTGCCTCCTATGAGCACCCCTACCCTGCCCTTTTGACTTGAAGAGTCTCTGTTGCTTACCGCTTCCCCCGTCTGCTCATATTTATAAATTAAGACAATGAAGGTCGAGCACAGCGAGGAGCGCCAAGGTCTGTTTGGTATCTTCTCGTGGTCCTTGGGTGAGGTTCACAGGCCAGCCCCCTCCTGGGGGCAAGGGAGAGCGGTGCGCATGTGCAGTCCCATAGGGCCCCGTGCCTGGTTTCATGCTCTGTTCTCACCGTTTTGAAATTCTCAACAAGTTCCGAATGAGGCCCTGCATTTACATTTAGCACTGGGACCCACAAATTATGTAGCTGGTCCCGGCTCGGGGGCAGGTTCAATGGGACACTTCTTTGCTAGGGTCATGAACACATTCAGGTGACTCAGACCTGTCTTATTCTCGAGGTCCTCCTTGTCCTTTGTGCCTAGGGATGGTGTGGGTGCAGAGGGCAGGATGGGAAGCCACGACCTGAGGCTCCAGAGCCCAGCCCCCCAGCCCCAGCCCCAGCCCAGCCTCGGGCTATAAATGTTCTGTTTCCCAAGTAACAAGCCTGACATCCCAAAGACGTTTTCTTCCTTCCTGCTCCTCCCCTTCCCCAAATTACTGCCTCCTTTTTCAAGCTGTGGAGGAGACAGAATCTCCACGCTGGAAGGTTCCTTAGAGGTCAGAGCCTTCATCTCCATATCCAATCAGCCTCTGCTTGCATGCTGCCGCCGTGGGGAACTCACATGGCAGCCGATCCCAAATAGCGATCTAGCACGCCTGATGTGCTAGAAAATTCTTTCTTTCACTGAACTGAATTTGTTTTCCTGTAGCTCCCATCTGATGAGAGCATTCATTCACTTATTCCTTTACAGAAATTAGCATTTATTGAGCACCTACTGTATGCCAGGCCTTGTGCTGGGCAGTGGGGGCCACGAGATGAACAAGATATGCCATTGTGATCTCATGGTTTAGAAAACAGATATAAACCCAAGAATGCAATATAAATCCTAAATTGGGATCGATGCTGCTGCAAAGAAGTGTAGAGAACCATGGGGTCATGGAGCAGGGACCTGATTTACACAGGGGTCAGCGTATGCCTTCCTGAAGAAGAGAGGCCTGGGCAGTGAGTAAGAGCTGAACAGGCGGAGGACGGGGGAAGGGTATCTTGGGTAGAGGGAACAGCATGCAGAGGGCCTCGGGCTGTTGGGGAAGGGGCGTGAGGGGGGAATGTTGGAGCCTAGGGCTCCTGGGGGGGGAGGTGGGTGCTGGAAGATGAGGGCAGAGAGGGGGGCAGGGGCCCGATCGCACAGGGGTCCCAGAGCCTGCGGGCAGGGGAATCTCTGTCATGACAGACTCACGACAGGACCGTCATGACAGTCCTGCAGAATTTGGAAGGCAGCTCCTTTCCCCCTCGAGTCTCACTTTCCTTCATGTGAAATGTGCCCAACACCTGCCACCATTTGTCAAAGAACAGATGAGGCAGCTTCACCTGCTGGCATCATATCAGGCTGTCGTGGTGCCCGGGGGTGGGGGTGGGGGAGCAGGTCCCCAACCTCCCAGCGATGACTCATGGGGCGGAGAGAATGGGCTGCCCTTGTCCCAGTGCCATGTGGTGACCCGTTGAGCGGCTGTGCTTCCTGCCACCCCCTGGTTGTGTTCACTTTCCGAGCCAGGTCTCTCTCACCTGGGAACTAAAAACAGGTTTTTGTTTTTGTTTTTTAAGTTTGTTTATTTATTTATTTTGAGAGAGAGCA